CCATCACTGCTCCTTTTCTCCGCATCTGTATAGGCCTCCCTTGCTCTCAGTTTAAGTTGTCCTTTCTTGGAGGAGCCTTCCTGACCGTGATTTGAAGTAGCCCCTTCCCCTCTGCTATATTGCTTCTCACAGCACCTTTCTCTTCACCATCAGAGTTCTTTCCATAATTTGTCACCACATACTGCTTTGTGCTCACTCTTTTAAGGGCTGTTTCTCTCACTAGCCTGTGAGCCATGATGGTGGTCTGTGCGTTTTTCTCCTTGTATACACGTGCTTCATGTATTGACGATCCTTAAAGAGTTGTTGACCAAAGGGCTTCCTTAAAGCCATTTACTTCTTCATTGCCTATTCTCTCTCATTGCTGGTCCACACTGGTGGCACTTTGTCGGGCCCTGCCTGATTGCTTCCCCCTGGTGAGCTGTGGCCAGGTGGCTAGGAACTTGTGGAGTCAGACAAACTTGGATTCAAATCTCGGTGAACCATCTACTGACTGTGTGATCGAGGGAAAGTTACCTACCTTCTCTGAACGTCAGTTTCCTTCTTTGTCAAATGGCGAGAAAGAGGTCCAGCCAGAAGGCTGGGTATAAAGATGAAATCTAACATCTTGCAGTGATTAGCACAGTTCCTGGAACTTAGCATGCACCAATCAAAGTGATTGTCATCATTATTGATCCTAAGGAGACTGCCATCCAGGTGGCATCGTGTCACTGGTAATAATTGCCTTGGACTCTCCCTGCCCTTTCCCCTCCCCTCCCCCACCCTGTTAGTAGAACAGAGTCTCATATTAGCTGGGATCACAGAGAGTAAATGTTAATTAATTATTTGCTTGAACTCTAAGGAATAGTTCAGCATCTCAGATGCTTTTTTTTTTTTTTTAAAGAGATACTGGTGAGGGTGTGCAAACAACAAAATCTTTAATATCATACATGTGTTCATTTGTGTGTGCACATAAAAAGGAAGAGAATGAACAGTTGTTTCCATTTGGAAGAACTGAGCTTCAGGTATTGCATGTGACCTGCACAGGCAGAGTGTGGTAGTGGGGGGGAGGAGGGTATATCTGGAGACAGATCTGCCAGGACCAGGGGGACCATTCTTGGTTTTCAGCAGCTGTGAGGAATTAGAAGACAGTGGAGAAGGCTCAGAGGAGTTTATGAAAAAAGAATTTCCCAGACAGAGATTGTTGCGAACATATATAAGATCAAGTCCTGAATGAATTGGGCTTTTGTTATCAACAGAACAAATTATAATTCAGGTTTTGTTTGAGATGCTCCTGAGAAGAGGAAAAGAGAGTCAGAAAGCTACACAGGGATGTAAAGAAGATTAGGCCCCGGGAGATGACGGAGATCAAAGTTTGGTGGGATGTTTGGGATCCAGCTTTCCTCATGAGCATTTTGGTATTTCAGAAAAAGCAGTTGTTTTTCTAAACCAAAAGAAAACTTTTTTGTTTGTTTATTTAAACTACACGTGAAATAATGTATATAAAAATACTTTTGTCTACTGAAGTTTTATGTATATTAAAGCCATCTCGCTCATCTGTTTGTAGTGCTTTTTGGTGTTCAAGGTACTTTTCCCATGTCTTATTTCTTTCAGCTCTTTATTATTATTATTATTATTATTATTATCATCTATTTTACAGATGAGATACAAGGGCCTAGAGAGGTTGGCTGACTTGCCCAGGGTTACATTGATAGAAAGTGGCAGAGCCAAGCATTTTCCCCCACTGCACACCAGGTTAATAGAGAGGCTCCTGTTAATACTGCTTATATTGGTATTGTGTCAATTTAAGTAGAAATGGTTGTGAGTTTACCCAGTGGCTTTGTGAATAGGACCAGAGGCGGAAGGAATAGCCTTGAGGTCTTCTGTAAAGTGACTTGTGATTCTGTGATTGAAACCTCCAGTAACTTGGATAAAACAAAACTAAGCTCTCCCTCCAGTAGGACCTCAAATAGCCTTCAAGACCCCACACCCTTGCTGTCCCCTCAGCTTCTTGAGCCACTGGACTATACATAGACACTTACCAAACGTGGAAGGACTTATCTAAGTAGGTGCCCTCTCTCTTCTTCCCAGGGAGGATTTTATTGTCCTAAGAGGTCATATTCTGAAGGGTGGGGAACATTCTGTCTTTAGACACTACTAAGGTTTGTGATCACAGGAGGCTATACAAGATTAAGTGACCTTTTCTGTGGAATGCAAAAGTACATATTTGCATATTCCCTACAACCACCCTATGAGGTAGGTGCTGTTACTTCCGCCTTGCTATATGAGTCATCCGAGGCCCAAAGAGGTTTAGTAACTTGTTCAAGAATACGTGATAAAAGACTTATCAGGGGATTTAAACCAGATAGTCTTGCCCCAAATCTGTGTTTTTAAATCTTATAATAGGCTCATTTTGATGAGTGAGTGCCATTCATCCATTCATCCATTCATGAACCTACCCCTCTACCCACCCTTTCACCCATCCTGCATCGTCTATCAATCCATCCATTCATCCTTCCATCCATCTGTCCGTTTATCCATCCATTCATCCACCAATTCATTCATGAACCAGTCTTCTCTAATCACCCATCCTGGTCCATACATTCATCCATCCTTCTGTCCATTTATTCATCCACACATTTACCCACCCATCCACCCAACCATCCCACCATCCATCCATCCATCCATCCATCCATCCATCCCTTTCACCCATCAACCCATCCTTTGTGTTGGCTGTTTGTCTGACATGGTCCTCTGTTTCTTCCTGGGGAAGAAAATTCTCTACCCTGGGAGCCAAGCACATCTTTCTAGAGCTGGAGGTGTCCATGCCAACACACACAGACCTTAGCTCCCATGAAAGCTTGCTGCTGACACTCCTAGGTTGCTGTCCATGAGAATGCTGCTATTAAACACAGTACTAGGTTGCTTATTCACTTTCCTTCCTTAGTAAACCTGTAGAGGGGGTCTCCTGACAATGTCTCAACATGATCAGAGCTGCAGGCTTTTCCAGAAACTCTTGGCTTTCTGAAGGATCATTACAAATGATTCTCAACTAGCCCCATTCCTTGACCCAAAGTCTGGAAGTTGGATTAGTTAGGTATGATTTTGCTTTAAAAAAGCTGTTATAGAGTTTGTGTGATACATTTAACAATTCTGTAGTAAATCTAAAACAGATGTGCACAGGGTATTTTATAAGGAAAGACATTTTAATAGACATAGCCAATTTGAGTTGAGATAAATTAATTAAGGAAAAATAAAATTGTCTGAAGAGGTAGTATGGCCTAGCTATTTGCATATTTATTAAGTGCATAGCAATGAAAATTGCTTAATTATTTTGCATAGCCTCTGTTGTACATAAAGCATTGATGAGACAATCTTACTTTTCAGTTATTTTTTTACTTTTATTATGAAAAATTGAAACATATAAAAATTTCTTTTTGTAAGTTTCAAAGGCATATTCCTTACTTGTTACTTAATTGTTTTGGGTGAAAATTTTATTCCAAGAAAGTATATTATATTGACATTGAAATATAATGAACTTATGAATATAATTGCTTATGTTTTCATTGAGACTTAGCATTTTTGGGGTACAGCATTGAGAATATTATGCCTTTTATTTTATTTTAAAGATGTGGGATACAATTCAGATTAGGTATTCAGATTTTCATTATGCAGGTACCCTTGTTGATGAGGTGTGCCCCTACCTACCCTGGCAGTTTCCCTCAACTGCCAATTCCCCCACTCCTCCCCTGGCAGTTTCCCGATACTGCCAATCCCTTTCTTATAGTATTATGATAATTGTTCAAGGTCTGCTTATGAGTGAGAACATGTACTCTGTTCTTTGTTTCTGTGATAGATCACTGAGGATGATAGAATTAAATCCATCCAAGTTGCTGCAAAGTTCACATGTTTGTCCTTCTTTATGAATGCATAATATTCCATTGTGTATATGTACCACATTTAAAAAAATCTAGTCCAGCTTCAATGGGCAGTATGGTTGGTTCCATGTTTTTGCTATTGAGAATATTACACCTTTTATAATTTAAAAAAATTCAAATCTACAGCAAAGTGGAAATCTACAGTTATTAATTAGCATCAGGACTGGCATTTTCCTGTGTTATTCCATGGGATTAATGTACACCTGTTGAGTTGTGTGAGTCACATGGTAGGCTCTCAACAAATGTTTCCTATCTTGTTGCCTCCTAGTGGTGGCGCTGCAGCTGGGGGAACTGTGTGAGGGAAACTGGGCTCTTTCAATTCAAGCCCTTTTCTGCCAATATGGAAGGTTTTTGCTGTTGAGAGAATTAGTATGGCTTAGTGAGTAAAAGAATAGGTCTGAGGCAAGAGTGGTTCAAACCCCAGCCCTACACTTGCCATTTTTAGAACTTGGTTGAGTTGCTTAATCTCTTTGAGCACTAGTTCCTTCACTGTAAAATGTGGGTAGAAAAAAAGTACTATACACAGCTGGGTTGTTGTCAGGAGAAAATGAGATGGGAGAGTCTATGTCCAGTATTTAGTATAGTGTCTGCCTTATAAATGCCCAATGGATGTTACTCCTCATTAGTATTATAAGTAAGGATAAATCGGCATAGTGCCTTCCATATAATTGCACAATAAATATTACTTATTATAGGTAAGGATGAAAAGCTCACGCCAAATTGGTCTTTAAAAGTCTGAGTCTACTCCAGTGCAGTGGAGAGAATAATGATCTCTTCTGAAAGCTTGCAATGCAATTTCAAACAAGAATAAGCCTGGATGGACATGTGAATGCCACCAGCCGGGCATGGTGTCACAAGTCATCATGGGAAATGACCACGCTTGCCTTTGGTTCCATACAGTGATGTCCTGAAATAAACCAACCTTCTGAAACCCATTGTTGGCTTCTGGCATGGAATGGCTCACTCCACCGCCAGGGTAGACGCCTCTATCCCAAGAGCCTTGTGCTATTCTTGTTGCCTGAAACTGACTTTATTCTTCTCTCTGTTTCTTTCTCTCTTCTCTAACCCTCTCATATTGTATTGTAGGTTGAAAGGATTGTAGACAAGAGGAAGAACAAGAAAGGAAAATGGGAGTATCTTATCCGATGGAAAGGCTACGGGAGCACAGAGGACACGTGGGAGCCAGAGCACCATCTCTTGCACTGTGAGGAGTTTATCGATGAGTTCAATGGACTGCATGTGTCCAAGGACAAGAGGATCAAGTCAGGGAAGCAGTCCAGCACCTCCAAGCTGCTGCGTGATGGCCGCGGTCCGTCGGTTGAGAAACTCTCCCATAGACCTTCAGAACCTGGGAAGAGCAAAGGAGCCTCCCATAAACGGAAACGAATCAACCCTCCCCTGGCCAAGCTGAAGAAAGGGTATTCAGGCAAGACCCCCACGGGAGGTGACAGAGCTGCCAAAACAGTGTCTTACAGGACTACCCCTAGTGGTTTGCAAATAATGCCCCTGAAGAAGGCTCAGAACGGGATGGAAAATGGGGACACTGGCTCCGAGAAGGATGAGAGGCACTTTGGAAATGGGTCCCATCAGTCTGGCTTGGATTTGAATGACCATGTTGGAGAGCAAGATGTGGGTGAATGTGATGTGAACCACACTGCGCTGGCAGAGAATGGGCTCAGTATGTAGTTTTTCTTTCTCTTGGGTTTGGCTCTGGCCAGGGCAGATGGGGGAAGGGCTCTGCAGGCAGCCTAGGGAAATTCATGAGACTCCCACCTCCATCCCCTTCTCTTAGCTAACCAGTAAGTATCTTTTCATCCCCTTCACCTAGGCCCACATGGACTCAGTTCTGTGTCCACATTGGTTGCATACACTCATGTGCATGGGGTGGCTAAGCCATCAATGCTCCTGCTGAGGTCTGGAGTGGTCGGGAATTCCTGACTGAGCTTCATGACACCTAAGTCTGTTGTAACCACTCTAGAGTCACTTCTCTTAGGACAGCTCCAGTCCTCACCCCCAGGACCCCAGACCCGTGTCCGCAGAGGGCCAGTGCCTTTCCAGGGCATTGTGCAGTGCCCTTGCTTGCAGTCTCATCATGTCCCTAGTAGAGCAGCCCTCAGAAGTAGGGTCTGGGTTGGGGTCTGCTCCTCCTTCTCAGACCCATTGTGGGCTTGGAATTCATCAAATCAGGGCATACCCTGGAGCCCCTCGCTCTTCAACTGACAACTAGGATGCATGATTACTCTCATTTATATATGAGGTCCTGTCTTAGTCTATTTAGGCTTCTATAACAAAATACCTTAGACTGAGAGATGTATAAATTATGGAAATTTATTTCTTACAGTTCTGAAGGCTGCGAAGTCCAAGATCAAGGCACCAGCAGATTCAGTGTCTGATGGTGCTTTGTGTGTCCTCACAAAGAGGTTGAGTTCCCATCATCCCCTTTTGTAAGGCCACTAATCCCACACCCATGACTGAATCACCTTCTGCAGGTCCCACCTCTTAATGCTGTTGCATTGGGGATTAGGTTTCAACATAGGAATTTTGGAGGGACACTGACATCAGATTATAGTGGGTTCTGAATGCTCCCTTGATGCCATCATATGCTAAATCTTCTGGTTTGCGTCTTCTTACTCCATCCTCAAAACAGCATAGCTTGTATATGTCATGTTAGATTATGGAATTCCTCTCTTTTAACCAAGTCTCCATGGGCAGAATTAAGGAGAGAGGAGGCAATGACCCAGGTGGTTCAAGTTTCCAAACCAGAGAGGTGTTCTCCATAGTCAAATTGCTCCTTACCCAAGTCCTTCACAGCCTCAGTCTTTCAGGTTAGCTGCCTGTACCAGTTACATGTACTCCCTCAATTCTCAGACACCTGTTTGTGTACCTGGTGGCACTTTTCTGTTTAGCCAACAGAGCTACTGCAGGAAATTCTGCAGGAGCGTGGACAGCCCATGCCCAACAGGGCAGGGTCATCAGACACCTCGATGGAACCAGAGTGTGAGGTAACCAGGATGCTGGAATGCAGGGGGATGGCTGGGACAGCTTGCAGAAGGATGAAGTGACCAGACAGAGACACATCAGAGTGATGGCAATGGCGTTGGAGTTCAGAGTGTTTGGAGCAGGCTCCCCTGAGACAGCATGCTGTCTTTAGAGACTTGCCGGGGAATCTGAGCAATCTGCGTTGAGGGTTCTTTCTCCAGAGGGAGGAATTTCACCCAAACAGAATTTATTTAGCAGTCTTTGCCCCAGACTGACTCACATTTCCGTCTGGGGATCCCTGATGCCGACGTGCCTGTGCCTGTGCCTGCTAACATATGTAAAAGCTGTTTGTTTTAGAAATTCAGCTCTCCGGGAGAAGTGGGCTTGTGTAAATGAGGCTTGGCATAAACATCCGTGTTTGATGTTTCTGTGACGGCTGCTGGCAGTAGCGCTGTTCCCCGTCTCAGGAAGGTTAGCGAGGGGAGCGTTGGAGGTCCCCTCGCAGGTGCAGGTGCAAGGCTCAGGCATAATCCCCTAAGCTTTCGCTGTTAGCAGCCCCCTACCCTGTTCAAAACGTGGCTACCTCAGGGGTGAGGGAAAAAGCATGAGGGAGCTGCCAGACCGCAGACTCATAGAGACGTCTAGGTGAAGGTGCATCTCTTGTCCTGTGCACCTTTTATAGTGGGCTGGAGCTGCCAGTCATATTCTCTCCATCCTTGGGGCTCGCTGGTGCCTGCCCCCCACCCCATCTGTGATCTAATAATGGTGTGTGGTACCCCATGGCCAGGGGAAAGAGGCGAGGACCAGCCTGCCGAGGTTCATGGCAATTCTGTTAACTCCAGATTGCTATTCTAGATCTTTCTGATTTGATCTTCCTCATTTTTGCCTGATGTTGTGTGTTCTCTACTGCACTTGGGTTCATGTCCGCCTCTGTTCTGGCTATTTTAAAAGGGCCCCTTTGCTTCATCACATCCCTTGGTATTGGTGCCTGTCAGATCCTCCCATAAAATTAAGACAGTGGTCCTCAAAGCTTATGTGTATTAGGTTACTTGGCAAATACAGGTCCCATAGTGTCAGATTGACTAAGTCTGGGGTGGAATTCAAAAGATGGGCTTTTAACAAGCACCCTGGGCGACTGGACTGCATTTTGATACATGCTTTGTGGCAAAATGGGGGTGGCAGTGAAGTTTCTCATCAGTGTCAGTTTAATTCAATTCAATACTAGCTTTTTTGAATACTTCCTGAGAGTTAGTTGCCATGCTGGGTGTTTGGAGGAAGGAAGACATAGGTAAGGACTTCTCCCTCCGAAACCCACAGTCCATTCTCCAGTAGAGTGGGGTGGCTGCCTCCAGCTCTATGTTAAGAAAGCACCTGAGATTGGCTCCGTGGAAGGAGTAACATGTATGATACATATAAACTTACGCCTTCACCATACCCACATTGACATCTTCTGTGGTTACTAGCGTGATAAATATCCTTGCCACTGACAGCCTTTAATACTAGCTAGAACTAGCTTATTATCTGGGTCTGGGGGAACTGAGGAGAGGAAGAGACAGGAGAATCCTTGCCAGAAAGAAGCAGGGAATGGTGAAAAGAGTAGTTTGAGGTTTTTGGACAAGACCCAAGAAGAGGGGGTGTTGTGGTTCCAGAACTTTCCAGCAAGGGGTCAGAGGTATAGGCAGGGACAACATGGCTCCACTTATGTTTTTAGCCAGATGGAAGCTCTGCTGAAGCCAGTGTTCATGCCCATGTGGGGTTCTGAATGTCCTCCTCCTACCCTTTTCTCTAACCCTGCTTGCCTGACCTGGACTGAAGGACCCAGTTCCCAGTGGCCCAAGGGTGAGCTTGGGGGGTTTTCAGTGCAGAGCAGTGGGGGCTCACCTTTGCCTGGCAGAAGGTGGTGGGGGAGGGGCGATCCTGGCTGTACTAACACAGCATTTGTTTTGGGGGTGGGCTGTTGCTTTTTATATGGTTTTAGCTTCTCTTTGGTGAGCTGAGGTTCTGCATACAGAACAGCAACTTATGTAACACGTTACTCATTTACTGCTGACTTCCCTGATCTGCTGTGGGAACAAATGCTAAATCGGGGCTTCAACGGGTGGTGTTTTGGTTTCAGACGGCGTTTTCCCATGGCAGTGTTTGTGAGGCGTGTGCAGCGACTCCACACCACTCTTGATTATGATTACTCTCTGGCGATGACTAACAGCTTTGTGGTCCAGGTACCATCTGCCTCAGTATCCCTAGGGGAGCTTGTTAAAATGGGCTCCACCTCAATTGAATGAGTCGGGATCTCAGGGGGCAGGGTGTGGGTTATGTATGTTAAATGCTGGATTTTAACAGCTACAGGTGTATCCGGTGGCTTCTGCAGATGTGTCTGGTTGTAAGAGAGCATTCATAAATCCATTTGTTGGTAGATCCAACAATATTCCTTAGATAGGAAGTTTGTATGTCAGAATGTGATTTGATCCTTCAAAGTTTTAAAACCTGACATAGTATCTTTTTCTCACTGATGCACTTTCCACCGGGCACCTCCTTTTGTTTTCTTAAAGATTCTTCATGGAGTGTTTTCTTTTTTTACTGTTAGTATAGATTCAGGGGGTACATGTGCAAGTTTGTTACATGGATGTATTTTATGAAGGCGGGGATTGGGTATCTAGTGTTCCTATCTCTCAAGTAATGAATTGTATTCACTAGATAAGCAATAAGTAATTTTTCATCCCTTACCCACTCCCTGCGCAGCCACTCCCTTTTGGTGGCCCCAGTGTCTGTCATCTCCATCTGCATATCCATGCGTACCCATTTGTTTAACTTATAAGTGAGAGCATGCGGTATTTGATTTTCTGTTTCTGAGTTATTTCACTTAGGATAAGGGCCTCCTGCTTCAAATACACTGGTTTCATCTGTACAGAAATGCTCTTAGGTTCACTAACCCCTTCTGTCGTTCTGCCCAGGGGAACTGCTTAGCGCTTTCTTGTTTAACCCTTTGCACTCGGATACATCTCGCAGGTCACCTACTAGCAACTTGACTCACTTAATGAAATAGTGAAAAGCGAATCACTTCATATTAAGTAGTAGAGCATTGGAACCATTATTTTATTGTAATGATATTTGGCTTATAATGGAATTTTGGACATCGAGGAACTTATCTGTGATTAAAAAATCAAAATTTTATATTTTTTATTTTTCTAACGTGTGAAATAGTCACCCGCATGCATTGCAGGTTCATTGATACATGTTGTACAAGAGTTATTTGTTTGATGTCTTCCACCTAGTGTTTTTCTGTTGAAACAGACAAGGCAGTCTCGTTTTCTTCCTCCCACATTAATAATTTGTAATATATTGTCCAGTCTGTTGTTCAAAGATGATGTAGAAGGATGCACTCATGATTCCTGAAAACCACTTCTCAATGGATCCACCAGAAGCTTGGTAGATTTCAAATGGGACATAGGCTTTTCATTGTTTTTGAATGGCGAACTTCAAGGAAACATACATTTTTTTTTTTTTGAGTTGGAGTCTCACTCTGTCGCCCAGACTGGAGTGCAGTG